AAATAGTGATACGGAGCGTCAGGAGTCGCCGCCAATTGAGAGCATGCTCATATCTGGTTCTCAGGCTCGCCGCGAGTTGAGGAAAGGCGCGCAGGGAATCCTGGCGTGGGTCAACGCTACTGACGACGAGGAGGAGGACAGCAAGCCATCAGCCGCCAGACAACACCCAGATCATCAAGAGCAGCTGGCTAACCTTCTGCGGCGGTACTCGGACATCTTTCCAGACGACCTGCCGACCGAGCTTCCGCCAGAGAGGGATGTCGACCATGAGATTGTGACTGAGGAGGGTGCCGTTCCTCCATCACGGGCTGCCTACCGTCTCCCCAAACCCGAGATGGACGAATTGCAAGCCCAGCTCACGGAACTCCTCCGCAAGGGCTTCATCGAACCCAGCAAGTCACCATACGGTGCCCCAGTCTTTTTCGTTAAAAAGTCTGATGGCTCATTGCGCATGGTTTGTGATTGGCGGAATTTGAACAGGATCACCATCAAAAACAAAGCTTGCCTCCCAAACATTGATGACCTGTTTGATACCATTCAAGGGAGCTCATACTTCAGTAAGCTGGATTTACGCTCGGGATATAATCAGCTTAGGATCCGTCAGGAAGATGTACCTAAGACGGCTATCAATACTCCCTTCGGTCATTTCCAGTTCCGGGTTATGGGCTTTGGATTAACTAACGCCCCTGCCACGTTTCAGTCATTGATGAACAGTATTCTCCAACCGTACTTACGGCGGTTTGTGGTAGTGTTTCTGGATGATATTCTTATCTTCAGCGAATCCTGGCAAGATCATCTTGAACATATCCAGACAGTTCTTGAGACGCTCCGGAAAAATAGGCTATTCTGTAAGCAGTCGAAATGTGAGTTTGGTGTCAAGGATGTTCTGTTTCTAGGGCATCGCATCGACGGTGAATGTATCGCTCCAGATCCAAAGAAGCTTAAAGCAGTGAGGGAATGGCAGCCACCGACGACAGTTACGGAGGTGAGACAGTTCCTTGGTTTTGCGAACTACTTTAGAAGATTTATTGAGCACTACTCTACTATATCGCGGCCATTAGAGGAGATCACTGGCAAACATGCCAGGTTCGAATGGAGTGGCCCCCGTCAGCATGCATTCGAATCCCTGAGACAGGCCTTGTTGAGTGCACCGCTGTTGAAACTGGCAAACGTGCAGAAGCCTTTCAGAGTTGCAACAGACGCAAGTGATTTTGCAATAGCAGGCGTCCTTCTCCAACAAGGGGAACGCGATAGTCGTAAGCTGTCACAAGCGGAGCGAAATTACACTGCTGCAGAACGCGAAACCCTGGCGGTGGTGTTTGCACTGCGATCCTGCAGAATTTATCTATTCCAGCATTTTGAAGTGTTCAGTGACAGCATGGCCGTAGTCTACTTGAGCACAAAAGCCAATCTCACTAAGCGCGAAGCTAGATGGGTTGAATTTCTTGCAGACTATGACTTCACAGTTAATCACAAACCCGGCAAGGAAAATATGGCTGATGCGTTATCCCGCCGTCCTGATCTGCGCGGGTCAGCAATAGGCAATGTAGTTGAGGAAAAGGATTGCCCACCCATCCTACCAGCACCCCATTTGAATACGATTGAGTTTGCTTTGGAACTGAGTGATAGGGTTGCTGAGATGATTTCGGAAGCATATCAGAATGACGAGCAGCTTTCCCCAATAATTCAGCGGCTGCGCGGCGATTCCTCTGATAATCTACACGAGCGGTACTATTGGGATGAAGAGTCCAGGTACCTATACCTCCGTGCAGCACCAAACAATCGCTTGTGTGTACCCAAGTGTGCAGTAAGGCTTCAGCTCCTGCAGGAGTACCACGACTGTGTTACGGCAGGCCATCAGGGACGGGATCGTACATATTTCCGGCTTCGTCAATTCTTCTATTGGCCCAAGATGGGCCTTGACGTGAAGAAATTTGTTAAGTCTTGCGGCATATGTCAGCGCACTAAGGGTGGGTTGCCTAGATCCGGTTTGCTGCAATCGCTCCCACTCCCAGTACCAGACACC